AGTGATGTTAAGAAAAGAAAGGGGCGTGAAATCAAAGACTCCCCGACAATGACTTAGGCCTCTCAGAAGCAACAGCTGACCACAGAAAGCCCAGAGTAAGATATGGGTCAGCCCGTGAAGACGAGCTCTGATGGCAGAAAGGAAACCCCGCTCTCTGTTACTTGCTATCCTCACCGACGGATGCTGAGATCACTGTGAGGTGGACTCTGTAAGGCAATGCCTTCTGAGCTATCAGAACAGTAGAATGAATTACATTTTTAATTATCATATATTTTAAAAGATGTGTCTTTTATTATCACTGATGCATTGATTTTCTTCTTTTTATTTTTTATTTTTCCCCCTTCTTCCTCTTTAGAGCTGGAACTAACAACGGCTAGCTCAGGGGTCGGCAAACTGGGACTTGAGAGCCATACGTGGCTCTTTCAGTGCATACATGCAGCTCGGAAATGAAATTCAAATGAAAATAAAACTATGATAGTTTCATCTTTAAAATATTTAAAGGGCAGTATTCAGATAATGGTGATTTCATTTGCTTGTAAAATATATTTATGCCTCTTGAATACGTTTTAAATTGTTGTGAGGCGCAGGCTTGGCTCTTCTGTTCTCAAAAGTCTGCCAACCGCTGCTCTGGCTGAAAGGTCTTCTAACCTTAACGCCTGTCAGGCCAGCATTGGGGAAACCACTACATATGTTTCTTTAAGACCATGGCTCTTTAAGTAAACCCAGAATCCAGTTATTTAAATAAACTTCTTTCTTTCCTAACTTACCTTTTCAACCATGACTTAGGACCATATTCTCAGAGGTTCTGCCAGTCTCTCTGTGATCCGTAAGCCTGACCTTTTTATGATCTGGAGTTTTGTGTTGCAAAACAAGTAAAAGCAACCTAGCTCAGCTTGCTCAACTAATAATTCATGGTTGCTTTGCTTCATCCGAATCTCTGTCCTCAACCCACCTCCCACCTCCCATGCCACAAGATTGAACAATTTGTTATTTGTCATATACAATCAATCATCAAGTGTCAGAGCTGGCAAGGACTACTGGAAGGCAAAATGCATTTCTCTGAGGAGGAAGAGAAGCCCCGAGGAGATGTGTGATGGGTCTCCTGTCTTGGGGCGCTCAGAGAACCCAGGGTTGGGTCCAACATGCCCTGGCTTTCCATGGCACACGCTCCCTTCCTTCTTACTCGAATGGACATGAAATGCATGAGGACACCAGGCTCCCACTACCCGGCTGTGGAACGCTTCCCACACTAATTCACGCACCGTTTCATCATATCCACTCCCTCCCCCACTCCTTGTGGCTATGTTACACAGGCACAAGCACATACACACACAGATTGTTACAACGCAGCCTCCACCCTCTCAAACACACAGTTAACACTTTTCAAAGGAGAAGAGTCTGAATCCAGATATGTAAAATCAAATTATAAAACTTAAAAATCCCCACCAGCTAACATTTCAGCATTTCCCAGATGTTCTTGGTAAGCAAGGTCTTTATGATGTAAGCAGATTCCAAGTAGGCAGAGGATGACCATTCTAGAAAACCCTTCTTTTCATCTTTTTAGGAATTAAAAAAAAAAAAAAGCCTCTCCAGTGAAAACCATTAATATAGTTATCCACTTATCTAAAATGAAGGCTATTGACCCCTGACTTGTTCATAAATAGCAGGGTCGACCACTAAGGCACGCATCTTCCTCCACAGAGGGAGCCCTGGAGGGGCAGGGGTTAAGTGTGAGGCTGCGAACCAGAAGGTCCGTGACGCAAGCCCACTAGCTGCTCCCTAGGAAAGGGATGAAGGCTGCCTGCTCCTGTCAAGACCCACAGTCTTGAAAACCCTCATAGGGTTGCTGGGAGTTACAGCTGACTTGATGGCCGTGGATTTGGTTTAGCTTGGTTGGCTCTACAGGGGTATGTAATTCAAGTAGTCAAAGGCAATTTCAAAACCATGGTCTGAGCAAGACTGGAGGCTCCCACAGAGCACGAGGGACCGCAGAGGGGAGGGAAAGCAGTGGAAGGAAAAAAGTCACTCACCGCTCAGGCAATAGTTCAGTCTGCGGTGACCTTTCCTCTTACTATTCCTTCTTAAAAGGAGAAGAAATATTACTGTAGTGCATGCTCGCCCAAACCAAGCCAAACCACTGCTCTTGAGCAAATTCCAACTCACGGTGACCCTGTAGGACAGAGCCGAGCTGCCCACTGGGTCCT